GGAAGATGGAAAAAAAAGTACACTAGCCACAATTAAGTATTTTAAAAAAACTTTAGTTTTCTTATTCTTTGAGCGGCTACTGTGCACTCGAAAACGGGAGTTTTACAACGGAAATGTTATTTCTTATGGAAAATTTATTGTAATTTGCGAAATAAATGTCGGATTTGTATTTTAATGCTGTTAAAATTGATAAATTACGATTTTATGTGAAAAAATGTGATTTTAGACTAAAATCACAAAAATGTTAATCTCTCAGAAAAAAGTAAACCTAGAACCTTGTTCTGGTGGCAATGAATACGTTTTATTTAATGAATCCACCATGGCATTTGATCCTGTATTACCTTGTATATAAATTAACATTTTTTTTACAATTAATTAAGGTTTTTAGTTGAGATAAAAAAGTCAATGGCACGAGCGGGATTCGAACCCACGATCTTTGGCTAGATACGCCGCTGCTCTACCACTTGAGCTATCGTGACCTCGATCCACTCGGACACTAACTTCCCATCTCAACCCCACCTTTTGAAATTTCCCTCCTTTTTGCCATTTTTCAAATGTCGTGTAATCGGATTGGATTCTCTTTTTATCTCAACTAAAAACCTTAATTAATTGTAATATATTAATTGGTCAAGCGGACCACGAAATTAGTGAATTTAATGATTTAAAATGAAGTATACTTCGCTAGAGCTCTCCGTGGCCATTTCTTTTGTCATCGAGAATCAAATCCGATTTCACGACATTTGAAAAATGGCAAAAAAGAGGGAAATTTCAAAAGGTGGGGTTGAGATGGGAAGTTAGTTTCCAAGTGGATCGAGGTCACGATAGCTCAAGTGGTAGAGCAGCGGCGTATCTAGCCGAAGATCGTGGGTTCGAATCCCGCTCGTGCCATTGACTTTTTTATCTCAACTAAAAACCTTAATTAATTGTAATATATTAATTGGTCAAGCGGACCACGAAGTTAGTGATTTTTTTTTTTACATTTGATCTCATCAATAATTTTTCTTGTGGTATATGTAATAAATACTGTTGTAAAAAGAGAAACATTTCAAATTAATCACAAATCAGATTTCTATGGCTTGACAGAAATTATTTAATGAAACAATTACATTGCATATTCTTCTCCATCAATACAGGCAGTTTCTTTATTTGAGAAAAAAAATCATTAAGAATGATACATGAAGGATCTCTAAATTAATTTTTTTAATGAAACTCTCTCCTTCCCTCCCAGCGGCCATTTAATCTTCAAATGGAAGAGATTGGTTTTTCTGCATAACCGCCAATAAAAGAGATTAACCTCGTGACCTTGACCGCATTCTGTCTGCGCGCGATTGTGTTTCTTCCCCCTGGGAGCATGATTCGTGCCGTGTCAAAATGAGGCGAATCATCAGCGACTTCGATATGTTTGATATATAATATTGCAATGAAGAACGAACGGCTCGAAAAACTACTGGATGCAGTTCCTCTGGAAAAGAAATTTCAAGAAATTTGAAAGAAAAACCTTAAATGTCAACTTGGGTATACTAAAGTCCTCCCTATTACTATCGGCCAGATTAGATTCATAATAAAGCTTTTAAAAGTTTTATTTTTATTTCAGCCAAATCCGCGCTTGGAGCAAATAATAAACAATTGTGTTATTGCAAACAAGCTCTCAACCCACGTGAGCAGAGGAGCTATCAGGTGACAGTAACACCCTGCACAATAAAATATTCCTTCTCTAAAAGGACTGGTGGAAGTGACATAGTGAAAGATACAGAGTGGGTGGATTAGAATGTGATTGAAGGTTTGAGTGAAATTTCTTGTAAAAGGATCGAGCGACTTGTTATATAAATGGGCTGTTTAGGTCTTTCCGTATGTGTGCTGTTTGCAACGTCAAACGGAACAACGATCATCTTCGGATTTATGATTAAAATCTGTATTCAATTAATTGGAAGATTTGGTTCAACCCCATAGTCCAGTGTCATTTTTATAGATTGTAGTAATCTTTTGTTATCGTTGGTCGAGATCTATTGTTCAGAAGCAATTGTAAGTAGTCAGTAACGACGGTTCAGTCCGTCATTTTAATGTAAAAATTATTGGAGAATGTAACACGTAAAAGTAGATGATAAATGAACCTAATTACTAAATGTCTTAAGTTTATGCAGGTTTCAGTAAAGTTTTTTTTTTTTTTGCGTTATGAACTATGCATATTAGCCATGGTGACAATTCTTATATGTGTGTTCAAAATGGGGGGGTTTATTGTGAAAAAAGGGCCAGAGGCGACGGTGGGAATCGAACCCACGACCGCGGCGTGAGAGTCTCTCATGCTAACTACTCGGCTACCGCGGTCCCCGTTTCAGAAAAGTGTTACAATTAAATTCTAAATTTATATTTACAAAATTGTACGTAAAAGTACGACTTGTGGACATAGTTGTGATGAAGCGAAGGGTGACGGTTATGTAGAGAGATTCACCTAAATTGTCCGTAACAGAAAAAAAAAATTTTAACGTGTAGAATTTTTATTAATTAAATTTATTTATTAAAACTAATCTTATTAGACCAACCATTAATTTTACAATAATAGTGTAGAATAAATAAATGTTTACATTCTTATAAACCCAACAGTAAGATTTACATTTCACTATTCATTTTTAACTACGCAAGTTGATATGGCTTTGTTCTTTTTAATTTTCTGACCATGTTTCGGTTATGTAAGAGTTTGGTCGCTTTCATATTCTCGTGCTGTCTGAGGCAAGCCTGGTGTTTGGCGACAAACCTTTGTATTTCCGCCGTGACTTCAGGGATCTTGATCCCTATGTCAGTCCTTATTCCTTACGTACCATGTTTTACGTACGTACGTAAGATTTTATTTTTGCTGTACAACCCCATAGTTGAATACCCTATGTCCACTTAGGCTTTATGACTAGTTTATATAATAATATTTTATTTTGTCTAGCAAGGTTTTAGCCACGTCCTATCAACCAGTATAGTTGTCACTACCTTAAACCTATTTCTGTCCTTTTTTTCTTAACGTGTTCTTTCCATCTCATCTTGACATCTAAGGTCATTCCCAGATATTTAGCTGTATCGCTGTATGGTATAGTAGTTCCATCGATTGTGAGCGACGGAAATATTCCCAACTACATGCTCAAAGATCGGACGGGCTTGAAATGTCTTCATGAACATTCATCTCCAGGTTACGTGCTAGATATCCTCACGTTATGAGCAGACTGTAAATAATGGTAAGTTTATTGGGGTTCCTCGATATGTTACTACAGAGTAAGTAAACTGATTACATTTATACCAAAAATATGCATCCTAATAGTTATAGGAGAAAAAAATCGTTTTAAATCCAGAAGTTTTGGTCACAATGTTGTCAGTTATTTTAATAACAACCCTAAAACCAAATATTTCCCTCATCACCTTACAAAGTGCAAGGGTAACAATTCTGAATGGCTTAAATGATTTAGCACCTGGGGTATCCACCCTGGTAATGGTCTTAACTTGAAGGTGGATAGGTCCTGTTTGAATACACTTTTCACATCCATCCTTCTTATCCCACTATTTCCTTCTGTTCCACCGTCAAGAACCTTTGGACTTTCGATTATTTGACATGTCGTGGAAGCCCAAAATTTTTCAGATTTCCGGACAGTGCTTTTCCACCCTCCATTAGTTCCGTCTTGCCAGCTACCTTCCCTTTTAGTATGCAAACTTCTAGTTTCAGGGGGCTTCGGAGCCGCAACGATTTAGGCGTTGACACGGCGCTCAACACTATAAGGTTAAGGTCCCGGGTTCGAATCCAGCGGCCCTCCGTTCGAACCCGACATACTTACAAACGGGCTTTTTTTCAAAAGCACCGGCACCCCGAGGGTTGATAACCTTTGTTGTTGTGAACCTTCGTGAAAAAAAACACTTCTAGTTTCCTCCGTTTGATTTTTTGGTTGAAGGATGTGTACTCACTGTCCGTTTTTCGTGACTTACTATTTTTAGGAACGTTCCGATATATATACATATATATATATATATATATATATATATATACAACACTCACAGAAGTAAGTCTTTCTGTTCTGTAAGTCTATCAGTTGGTGCAAGCTCCAATTTTTTTAAAGCGTTTTTAGCATATTTTTCATGTCACACGCAGAAATTAATGACAGTTGTCACTGCCAAATTTTATTATTTTACTTAACGGATATCTCGAAAAACCAATCTACATCCTCATAACAATGAGGTGCTTTCTTAAGCATTCTAAATTGTGGAGTTCCAATATCAAAACTCTTCTATCAGACTCCTTCAGATCAACGAAAAAAATCATAGAAAAAATTTATAAAAATAGATAAAATTTAAACGTCATTAATCGTAAATCCCTTGCATAAGCTCTTTTGGCAGGTCCTTTCCCACTTACTTTGATAAAAAATTTAAGTCATTTCTCTAGCTAATATAGTTTGTATTATTCATGCATTTTTGTTTCTCTGCTCGTTCTTACTGCTCTTTTTTTCTGTGAGAAAATCGGCCATAGGTTCAATATGTATTATTGTTCAATAATAGCTGGTCCCAACTACCTACCTTCATATAGCCATGATGATTTTGATCAGAATAGAGTTAAAAAAAATTTTTAATTTTTATAACACTGGTCTGCAAAGAAAGCTTTTAAAAACAGCTCACTACAATTTAATATCTACTATACCTTTGTAGAAAATATTACGCTGGTATGGTAATTTAATTTGGAAAATATAATTTGTTTTGTCTTTGGTTTAGAGTGGCGATTTTGAATTTGATCAAAGACTGAGAAAATTCAAGTTGCCGTTCTCTGTCAATTCCCATGCAGTCAAAGGTGACCTATCTTGCAGGGATGCTCGTTAATAATTCTGAATTGTCCATTGGCCTCAGGTGGCCGGCTGGGTCCTTTTCTCGACGGCCTAAGGCTCCAAACCCCGGGGCGACCATTTCACGCCGAAGGGGTTGAAACGATTATCAAGCCGCCGTTGGCGCATGCCCGCCCCCGAGCCGCCCCTGCTGCCTCGCGCCCCATCTCAGTACGACACACGCACCCCTTTGCCGACAGGACCGCTCGTGTGAGTAGCCCCCTTTCATACACATAGCCACATGGCCACGGTCCGGGCACACCACCGCACAGTCGGACTGTTCCTGTTTCAACCTGGGGACAATTTTTTACAACCCCAACTACCAACAAATAATATCTTTAATTTCAATTTAATTTCAATTTAATTTCAATTTTAATATATAAGGTAGTAAGAAATATTTTTTTATTTAAAAACCGAATAGTTATGAGGCCAATTAGAAACAAAACAGAGCTCCTTCGTTGTGCTTTCATGAGATTCCTTCATCAGGGTTATGAAATATTAATTACTAATTAACAAAATTAACAAAACAAAGTAAAACTGTGCTTTCTTTCTAATTTGCCTCATCCCTGATAGTTTTTTAAATTTAAAATAAGGAAGTTGGAGGCTGATAACAAATTATATCGAAACTAAAAAAATATGGGAATCAGTTTTTTTATTACCTTGACAAATTACCAATTCGAAATTATATAATCCTTATATATTTCTCAATTAAATGATTAAATTTATTTGACAAAACTTTGTTTATTTTTCAAATTTCCTCATTATCTAAAAGGAATTTATACCTAATTACAAAACCTTTTTTTTTATCATGTCCATTTTATTCATGAAAAATTTTGTACTATTTTGTCTGAATTTCTTCCCAACTTTGAGACAGCTTAAGAAAACACTGAACGGTAAATTTTGTAAATATTGAGTACATTTTCGGTACAATCCATAAAAATGCAACTAGATTTAACCTATTAAGATTATAAATGTAAAGCATAACCCTTTTTTATATAATAAATTAATGTAAAAGCTTCAAATTCAAAAACAAGCCAATAAAAGTTTGAATATTTACTTGTTTTCTTATAACTTAATAAAAATAATTGTTTTAAACTTTTTCCATACTTATTAAAAATGTATTATTTGTCGAGAGTTTTTCTCGACCTTCCGACATGAAATTCTCGTGAATCAACACTTAAATGAATCATTTAAATTATTGTTTCGTGACAGTTTAAAATTCCATTATAGCGCATGTCGAACATAGAATTTATAAAAGAATCATTATGACTTCTGACTCATCAAATGTTTTTTCACACGGCTCGGCTTCGTATTGTTTCATTCTATATTACTTTTTGTTTAATACCGGCGATTGTCGTCTGCTAAGTCATCAAAAAGATATTATTTTACGATGATGTTTTTAATTTTTTGAAATTAATTTATAAGATCAATTTAGCAAGAACGAATATGTGACAATGCCAACTGTAACGAGAACTGGAGAAATTTTATTTTGAAAAACACGAAATTATGGAAAATCCTTGATATATTTATGTGTGGTAAAGAACATCCGACTGTGATTTTTCAAAAAATTGTGGTGTGCCCTCGTGTCGTGTATATAAAAAAACCTATGAAAGCAAATACAACTCTCACCAACAGAAAATGTAAAAGGAAGCCAGAACTGCTTTAAAAAATTAAACTACCGAATTCAAAATTCAAATCAGACTTTTACGATTGATACAAAAGATGTTGAGTATTTTCAAAAAAAATATGTTATAAATAAATAAATAATAGAAAATTCGCCTTTCAATTATACGAATAAACCAGTGCAGGATGAAACTCCGAGGCAGAATATAATTTTTATTATCGATTTGCCCCCCTTCAGAAAAGTACATACGTTTTATTAAAATGTAAACTCGCCGACATGAAACCCACATTCTCGAAAAGATCTCATTAAAAGGAAAGAATTCTCGAGAAAAACGTTGCCCCGGGAAAACCCCTCTCAAAAGGACTTGTGGGGACGAAAGAGATGGAAAGTCGCATTTAATATGGACAATCGCTTTGCCGGCTTAGCCCCTGGCCTCTTTTACTTCTGGATATCCGAAGTGAAGTATTAAGACAGAATACCCAACCTCTTTCCCATATAGTACCATTTCCAGGGGGTTTGTTTGAAACTTTAACTCTCTTTTTTTTGCAGATCAATTATTCATTGTCATTGTTTAAGTTAAACTTTATTTAAACATAAATCGTAATTGTTAAGGGAAAAAGGAAAGGAAAAGAAAAAAGGAAATATTTTGTAGGGGGAAACTAGCCCTACGTAAAGTAAGGTGTTTTCTTGATGTCAAAGTAATGACCACTATTGCTCCGAAACATAAAAAAAGTCATTTGGTGGCATTACCCTAAGTATATGTCGGTGACCCTACTGTCTTCCTGAGTACTTACCGAGAGAAAACTTCTCGGCAACTTAAGACATAAAAGTTTATTTGAAATGGAATTGCTTCGTACGGGCATTGATTCTCGAAAATGCAAGCCGTTACACATTAACGGTCGCAATCTGTGAACAAACGGCCAAATCTAAGCATGCGAAAACATAAATTTCCACTCTCGGTCGCACATCATCTATCTCGTACACATGGAGGCCGGATGACGCACGATTATGATACATCAACAGTGAATAACGGTTGGGCTCACTAATCACCCAAACGTTCAATCATTATATTGCATTGTTATAAATAATAATTATGAATATTTTCCAAAATGAAACATAGAAGTAGTAATCAAAGGTCGAAAAACTAAAAACTGTTTGATAAATGTGAACAGTTCTTAGTATCCATTTTGACGAGGCTATCAAAATGTGAAGCCATTTTGATTAACAAATTTGGTCAACAGAACAGTATAAAACAAAGAATAAATTATAAATCTTAATTCACAATTTAGACAGAAATTAACTAAACGGATAAAAATTTAAAAATTACCTGTCCGTTTAATAGCTTAATTCCACTTATACTAATTGGGGGTTAATAATTAAACTAAAGTAAGGCCTGTTATGTCTATTTCAAATGGAAAACTCACCTCTAGTCTTTTATAACATAAAACTCATGAAAGTCAGGGCATTTAAATTAATGGATAAATTAGATTTCTGACTGCCAAGGAGTCACTGACTAGAGATGAAAATTTAATAACCACATAAAGCTCGTATCAGAATTATTTGTTTAATTAAAATCATCCTTCGTTGTTCATTGTTAATAATTAATTAAAATACAAAATAAAATAATTATCATTGCATTCATTACATTATCGTTACATTCAAGAAGCTTTTAATTTACCAATTAGCCAATTTACCTAGTTTACCAATTAGCGGTATAATAAAACTAGGTTTTTCCGAACTAAAAGTAATACATCTCCAAGAGGTTTTTAATAGAAATAAAATTTAGTAAAGTTACAATGAAACTAGTTAATAAAAACAGTAAAGTATATCATTTCTGCTGCCAGGAAGGCTATTACTAGATATCAGAAATACTTACTAATTCGCTTTTAATTATTAATAATTAATTAGAAGAAAAAATAAAACATTTGTCTGACATTCAAGATCCTTAGTTTAATGTTTACTAGTGGTGTAATAAAACATAAAATATCCTTTCTATTTTTTCCTGAATAAAACAATACTTGTACAAAAGGTTTTTAATAAAAATTAAAAAATAACATGAAATTTATTAACGTTATAATTAAAAAAATTGATAAAAACAGTAAATTTTATCATTTCTGCTGCCTAGAATGCTCTGACTAGATATAAAAATTTAATAACCACGTAAAACACTTCTTGGTTGATTGTTAATAATTAATTAGAAGATAAAAATAAAATAATTGCCATTCAAGAAGTTTAGTTATTCTTTAAATAATTAATGGTCAAATGAGAAGAACGACAATTATCCTATTCCTGTTGTTGTTTTTTCCTAGCTAAATACAGTATTTACCCAAGAGATTTTTAATAAAAAAATAAAACATAACATAAAATTTAGTAAAGATATGATTAAAATCAATGAAATAAAACTAAATCATAACATAAAATAAATTATAAAAGAGTAAACTGTATCATTTCTGCTGTCAAAAAGGTTCTGACCTTAGAGGAAAAATGAATAACCACATAATCCCAGAACTAAATATTTAAATAAAAGCTACCTACAATTTTATCGTTAAATAAATAATTAATACGCGGAAATAAAATAACTATCTGACATTCAAGAAGCTTAATTGCACTTTTCGTAATTAGTGGTCTAATAAAAAAACCTGTTCTTTTTTTAAGAACTAAAAAAATACCTGACCAAGATGTTTTTATCAAACGAATTTAGGAAAGTAATAATTAAAATCGTTGTTAAAACTGCAAAATAGATCATTTTTGCTTCCAATCCAACCTTTTTCCTAGAGATGAAAAGCTAAACTAACCACGTAAAATCTATATCAGAAATATATAATTTAAAAAATGAACAATAAATGTTTATATTTAGTATTTATTAAAAAAATAAAATAATTTGCCCAAGAGTTTTTTTAAGTTGCGTACATACATTGATTAGTGGACGTAAAGCCGATATCAGAGTTATATATTTAAATACAGGCGATTTTTATTTTTTGTTACTTAACTTTTGTAGGACGCATTGGTCATCTATATAAGAAAATACTCAACACTTTAAGGTTATAAAGACACTTTTTGACCTGAAGGGAGCAAAAGAGCCCTTTTTTGTTCATGTTGTTGCTTGGTTCGGGCAGTTCGCTTCTACCGAGGTTGACGAGGGTTGTGTTAAAAAACTTGTAGCGATGTTGTTAAAAGAACGTCGAGTTTAATCACGAAAAAGATCCTCGAAATATACTCCACCTCCGCCGAAGAGCTTCTCACCGGGGATTCCGGCTTTGAAACTCGTCATTTAGATACTTCACCGAGCCGGTTAAGCCTCTTTTCCCCGCTCGCGTTTTCAGGTATTAAGCCGAGACGGGTTTTGTTAAAGCATTATGAAAAGAGATGTAAGGAAAGATATTAAGTTTTTCTTTTACCAGTGAAATCCTGGAAACGGATGCTACATTGAAAACTTAACCAATCGCTATTCCAGTTGAGAGTGTGATAACAAAAAACGTTTAAAATTACTGATAAAATATGAGTTTGTTGATTAGGTGACTAGCAACAAGACAAAAAGTCCAGAAGTGCTCAAACAATCTTACTGCATATACCAATTCTCAAAACC